AAAGCACTCCCCAAACTTACACAATTTAGCTATAGAAGCATTAACGAGCATATTATCTTCTTCATGGTATATGTTAGTCTGGATATCATTTCACTAATTTGGGGATATTTTTATAATTTATGCATATAATGATATAAATACTTATGTTCTAATTTATAAATCTGTCTTCAACTACAATTTAATAATTTGTCTGTTTAGAACTCAGATTAATCCATGGGAAGATTTTAAGTTAATTTGAAACTTGCTCCATATTTAGTCTTACAGACATACCTCAGTTCTACTCATTTGTATTCACCACTGATGTGAGAGAAGAATCTTTACTATAGATTGAAAATGATGTTTAGTACACAAATATTGAGGCTTACCAGAAAAGATCTTACAGTATTAGTTTCTTTTCTAATTTAAAAAAAGGATTCCTGGTTAAAAGAAAGTCTTCTGGATTTGCATATTCATTCTTTTTCTGATATGATGAATAATATGGCTGGGGAATTCTGGAAGGTGAAGTCCACTCATCTTAAAGTTGTCAAGATTGTGAAACACTGGGCTAATATTTTACACGTTCTGCTGATAGATGGCCCCAATTGTATACAACTCACATCTTTTTTTTTTTTCACTTTGGTATTCAAGAGGCAGAGTATCACATCCAGTCCCCCCAGTATTCAGCTGCTTAAAAGAAACACAACTCAAGTAATAACATTTATGAAAAATGAAATCAGTGCCTGCAAATGTTTACCTACTAACACGAATACATTTGTTAGATCGCGCAGGCAGTAAGACACGAGTCGAGTGACAGTCAGCTCTTGGTTTATTGGCAAGGCATAAGGTAAATCCGGACTTGCTCTCTGGGCCAGGGGAGCCCTCTTTTATGGGATTCCCCTGGCTTGTAATCACACAATTCCATTGGCTGGCAAGACCCTGTTGCTAGTTAGCCAACCAGCAACGGGCATGAAACTGTATGCAGATGGAGAAGGGCAATCACCCTTAATGGGCGATCAATGGTGAAGGGCAATCACCCTTAATGGGCGATCAATGGTG